TTCCTGCCGCGCTGCGTAGAGCAGCCTGCTCGTTGTTCCTGTCCCCGGAGCAACTAATGCATGTGTAGTTCGTGAAATCTCGGCGCTGCTGCAAACGCGATGTACTAATATGGTTTACAGGCTTCGTGGGAAGCTTGGGAGCTGCCATTCGCTTAAGAGCAGCACACACAAAGGCAACGAGTCCCAAAGACAGAGTTTAAGCAGCAGGCAGGGCAGTGTTGAGAAGTGAGGAATCCGCAGCTCCGGCAGGAACTTTGTCTCCATGGCCCCACCGCCGATCTCGGTCTGTTAAACTAACAGGATTGATTTTCTAGATTACAGCATGTGCTGCATACCAAACCCAGCCCTCCAAACCTGGAGACAGTGACAGCTTTGACTTCAAATGCACACTCAGATTCTTAACCTTATTACAAGCCCCTTTTTATTATTATTATTGGTTTCACTGATTTAATTTAGCACAGTTATTTTTAGGACATTCCTACGGTCCCTATTTGCACAGCAGTGGTGAGCTGGTTTCCTGTCTGCTGTTGCTTCCATTGTTCAGACTTTTCTCCCCGAGGGCAGCTGCTGGTTGTCGAAATTCCAAACTCCCCGCACTTTCAACTGTTGTTCCTGCCACCCCCGAAACGAGCGCGTGCGAGGAGCGCTGACGTAGTTTCTAGGTGGGCATGTGCGGAGCTTTGTGTGCGAGCGAGCGAGCGAGCGCGCAGGGAGAGGGGGCCCTGCGCCCAGCGCCGCGAGTGCGGGGCTCAAACAATGGGAACAATGAAAGGTGACGTGACGGGCGGGGGCGCTTCGGCCTGGCCGTGGGGTGGCAGAAATGAGAAGGTGCAGGGACAAAAGGTGGAAACTTCTCAGAAAGATGTTAAGGTGCCTGCGTAGCACAACGGGTTAGGCTTTAGGCGTGTAGTTACTGACAGCCTGGCCTTTGAGGCGGATTCGAGAAGTTTCAAACTTTGTTTCAGCTGTGTTTCGTGCAGTCCTAGAAGTTGTTTTTCTGATTTTGTGTGTGTGTAGCACGGCCAAGTCTGGCTTCTTTGGAAGCAGTAGAGCTCAAGCTGTGAAGCACAGAGGAAAACAAACAAGCTAGTTCCTACATTCTGAAGCATATTCAAAGGAAAAGTTGTTGCTGCGGAAAGTCCCATGCGCATCCGTGTAGTTTTTGGTTACTTATGAATAATTTTAAACTAATTTATTTTTGTTGGTGGTTTTTAAATTCACATTAAATTTTAGTCATTTTTTTTCTAACAGTGTGTGCATTAAACCCCTGAGGAGTATTATGTGGATAGTTTTCATTTACAAATAATAACAGCCTGATAGCAATCACACTGGATGTATACAGCTTGTTAATTAACTGATTTAGAATATAATCATGCAAAGACGCAGGCATGTGTTCAAGTTCATACTTGTCCATACTTCATGTGAGGAATCCTGTTGAAGTCGTTCACAACAGGATTGAGGCCTTAGATGGCAGCTAGCTGTACTTTTTTTTGTGCTCACAAATATCTAGCTTGAGAAAATTCACAGCACCCTGACAGTGTGGGAGGGAGTTTTTTTTTAAGGTGCCTTTTCTCTTTTGCCCATTCCCTCTCCAGAGGGCAGAGGTTGCTTCTTGTGCTTTACTTTGTCCTGTTTTGAACAGCATTTGGCTTCTGCAGCTTCCTCAGACTTTCTTCCTCCACACAATAGGATGGCTCTCCTATAGCCAGCCTAATTTTCTTTTTTTGCTTGACTCCCATCTCAGCCTTTCTCTAAATACTTCATCCTCCTTCATAAGTGTTCAGCATGCCTTGTTAAGTATATGTTAAGTATTTTGAAATCAACTGTAGTCATTGCTTTCTTTTCTCAGATTGTGTTATGCTGTTAACTGCTGGGTGTTGAGCCCAGCATTGTGTATGTGTGATCTGAGATGCCTGGTGCTGATTACAGGAGGAGCCGGGAAGTCCTCCGGCTGTTACACAGTGCCCTGGTGCAGTTAGTCTTGTCCATGATTTCAGCTAGGAAGCCAGGAGGGTAAAGTCATTTATAAAGACAGGGTGCTGATCATACAGTTCTTAGGTTGTGAGTAGTGTGGAGTGAAACAGGGACGAACTGCTCATTTAAGGCGACAGGAGTTGAGGACTTGGGATTTGAGGATTTGGAATTTCATGTTGTTTCTTACACCTCTCTACTTGGGCTGCTTTAGTCATGTAAAAGCAATATTTCCGTTTAGATCAACCGTATTTAGGAGGAAGCGCACAGTAACCTGACACTAGGCTGCTTTTAAGATGAAATAAGTTACTAGGTCAGCTGGAGCGACTCAGTGTGTCCACAAGCCTATTCTGGGTGTAAATAACAGCAAGCCAATGGCCCAGTCGTGGAGCCCAGCCAGGAACCTTTTCAGTTGGGCCCTGTTAAAACAGGAAACCAGCAGCGAATAGCCTGATTACTAACAAGAGGGGGAAAACAAAACTGGGCTGTAATCAGCAAGAATGCTTTAATGAAAACAGAGCCTTGACAGCAGCAACGTGGCTCCTGCTCTAGTAAAAAATATCAGCTGAGGTAGTGAGAGATTTCTAGCCATGACTTCCTGTTGCTGCTCTGTCTGCACCGCAACGGAGATGTCTGCTGACAGTTCTGAGGGCCGAGCCTCTATTTAAATGAGGAGAAATTGTAACACCCTCATTTTCCTGCTTAACCAAAACCTGTTTTGTGTTGCTAACTCGCTCTGTCAATTAATACAACACGCCGAGCGAGCGGGGCAAAGGGCAGGCTCCGCGTTGATTCACTGTGACGAGCTGGGCTGCAGTTAGTCACAGGGCAGCTTGTACTTCAGGAGTGCAATAGCAGGAGAGCCTATTTGTGAAACAAAGAGTTTGTGTGGTTGGACTTTAGACAGTATTTTGTCAAGTTTCTTTTTTTTTCAGGTAGAAAAAAAAGAAACAGTTTGAAAACCTGTTCTGCTGTCCAATTGGTCTTGAATTCAGAGAGGCTTCAGTGGAGTTTTGAGCGGTGCATGAGATCTCAGAGTTTTTTGTTTTGTTTTGAAATGTGGTGATGTGTCTGGAAAACTTTGTGTTATGCCCAGTAAATGCAGCTTACAAACTCCTAGACACCTAACTTTCCTCACGGGAGTAGTTTCTTTGGCTTCTCCTCCCTCTTATTTCCAGCGCTCGCTGCTTGCCTCTGTTTCCCAAGGTCCTGCCTTGCTGCCTGTAATATTTAAAAACAAACAAAAAAACACCCAGTGAGGTGCTGCAGCACTTCTCATTTCTGACAAACAAGAACAGCACTTGAAAACACTGAGTAACATGAACTAGTTTTAGCTAGTTTTTAAATGCACTTTAAAAGAAACGAGCTGCTTTGCAGAACCATCATGTTGTCTGAGCAGCGTGATCTTTGTTCCAAGCAGTGCTCCTCGTGGCCCAGGAAGCCGTTGTGCAAGGCATGTTTGCAGGTTAAATGGCTAGCATGACCAGCACTTTTCTTTGAAGCTATTACAAGGAAAACGCATTTTGCTCAGAATCTTATTAAACTTGACATACTTTCTGTGTGGATTCAAGATCTGTTTGCATACTTTGGCTTTTTATCTTGTGTTGGCTATTTAAATAGTATCCTATTGTTTCTGTTCCATGACTGGATAATTTATGTAGCTAATCATCACACGAAAAATGTATATTCAGCTGTAATGTTCACAGCTTGCTGTTTGTTCGTTACATAAATTAGCAATTGAGAGAAGGAAAACAATACTATGGAAGTTACTAAAGTAACTACGCCAGACAAATTTCATATTGATTGGGCTACTGGGAATGCTTCCTTGCCAAAATTATGCATTGAAATCTGAATAACTTAAACTAAATTGAAGGATATTGAGGCTAGTCTTAAATATAATCCTAATATTTAAGGCTATTGCTCCCTCCTCCCCCTGCCTTAAATTGGAGGATAGGAAGAATTCATAGCATCAGCTTTGGCCACAGCTTGAAATTTGGGAAGGGTCCACTCTTCCCCCTTAAGTTTTGAGCATCCACCACATGGTTTTAATTATATCACCTTTTTTTTTTTTTCCTTCCTCTCTCTCTCTAAATTTATCAACATAAACACAGCTTTATATATTTTTATATTTCCAATATTTCAAGGTTGACTTTATTTCCTTAGATAAAGTAGAATTTTTGAAATATGGATAGCTTCCCACAGAGTTTTTACATTTTATCTTTAACTTTGCTAGCTGTTATGGGTGAACAAGTTCCTTCACATGTTTTTCTTTCTCCCAAGTGCAAGTTCAGAAGAAAGTGATCAAAGGACTTGTTTTCCTTCCACAGTTTTAGAAGATGCTTCGAAAAAATCAATACATTTTGAATCAAAATAAGTATTGGATTATACTAGCTGATATAAATGATATTTTTTATTTGGATTCATGTATGACTTTCAACTCTTAAAAGTTTTGGGTGAGATTAAAGTATGTTTTTCTTTGTATATTAGTGTTGTTTGTTTTTTCAGTGATTTGTATATCTACTAAATGAGCCGAATTGTAGTTTTCCTAGCTATGGACTATAAATATAAATACTTCTTTTTTTTTTAAATTTTGTTCACATACCGTAGCTTCAGATAAGTAGTAGTATGGTGTGTATACAAAGGACAAGTGAAACTTTAAAATTGCTTCCGTTCTTTGTACTGAAGGGGGAAAAAAAGATGCGTAGTGAACTTGTAAATCTGGAGACTTTACAGTAAATATAGCACAAAGCATGTAGTTCTGCAGATTGAAATGTGATGGGAAAACCTTGAAGTTGAAAAAATAATCAGGGTGCATTCAAAGCTGAACACTTCAAAACTGCAGTTTAATGATTGCAGTTGTTACAAAAATGCAGTTAAATAGAAGTGCATCTCTTGATACATTGATGGACTCATGAGTTAAGCGCATTGTACTTTTTCCGCACTTTTTTTTTCTAGTAAGTGAAAATTCCTGTGAGGTGGGGGAGCAGAGACAAGTTTCTCTTTCTTCTTTTCCTCTTTGATTTAATTTTTATTAGTAGATGCAGAATGAGCTTTTAACGTATAAAACCTACAAGCTATCTCTCCCAGGAGGGAGGCATCAGCATGTTAAGGAGTAATCAAGTAACCCATCACTTGAGTTGGGTATATGGGTTTTAAGTTCTTGCCTGGTTGGCTTTTTGCCCAGTTATCCTTGAAGAAAAGAGTGTTGGATGCATACCATAGCAAGCACATTTGTAGGATATTGGCATTAGATAGAAGCTATCTGATAACATGTGGTAGATAAAAGGTTGCTAGGGGAGCAAGAAAATGAGGGTTTATGGAAAAGAATTCCCCTTGGAACAGATCAGTGGTGCTACTTTTTGTTCAGCTGGCATGGAAGCCGCAGCTCGACAAGTTTAATGCCACATGACAAAGCCCCTGCATCAGAGGCTGTAGTCTCATTCACAGTAAAGATGGTTAATAAAAGTAAATAAAATAAAAAGTGTCTGAACCAGAAAATGTGAAGCTAAGTAGTTTAATGGGGTAGGAGGCTGATTGCTCTTGCCTTTTTCTATTTCTAGGTGTAGTTGCAATATCAGGCAGCGAAACAGAGGATGATGACACTATGGATGTCCCCCTGGATCTTTCCTCTTCTGCTGGCTCTGGTAAACGGAGGAGACGTGGCAACCTGCCCAAGGAATCTGTGCAGATTCTTCGGGACTGGCTGTACGAGCACCGATACAATGCTTATCCTTCGGAGCAAGAGAAGGCGCTGTTATCCCGGCAAACACACCTTTCCACACTACAGGTATGCAGCCTCCCTCCAAAACGGCTCCTGCTTTAAGTGCTCTCTTTTCGCAGTTCCCAATTTACCCGAATTAGCCTAGTCTCTGATATAAATGTTTACACTGTATGTGGCGTTTCCTCTTATCATTACTCTCTCTTCTTCCGATGTCACTTGTGAGGAGAAATACTGCTCTAGCTATCAGTGTACTGGGTCTCAATGATCTTGGCTTAGTTGGAACAAAGCTCCTTTTGCGGGGGAGGACAGGCAGTTGCGAATTTGAACGTGTCTGTTAAATTTTGAAGACACAAAAGTCTCTATAGAGTAATTTATTTTGGGGAGAAGTTTTTTTTTTTTGTCAGCTGAGCTTTTGTGGTGACACGCAGCTTAGTTGTATAACGCTTCGCTTTTAAAACTGTAACTTGAGGCTCGTTCTGTAGAACGTGCATGTATATAATTATGTGTGTGATTACTTCCATTAAGATCAGTGAAACAACCTGTGTATGAATAAATCTATTCAAGTGCATTAGTGTAGGTGTGATCAGGCTTTTAAGTGGTTGGGAGCCCTGCTTTTATCCAGGGGCTCTGCTACTGACAGCTGGGAGGCCCTCTGGACACGTCATTTTTGTCTTCTGTGGTCATCTTTCTTCTGCAGAATAGCTAGTAAAAATTGCTGCTTTCCATCTCATGGGAAAGTGACTGCATGAAAACTTGTGTAAACTTGGGCTTGAGAGATCGTAAATATAGAGTGCTCCTCCTGACTGCTGGGCTTTATTTTTCCTAATTAAAGTAGAAATTTTGTAGTAGGCTTTTAAATAAAATTTCTTTAAAGCAACATAATGAAGAAAACCTTTTTTATATAGTAAACAAAAAAAATACGTTAAACTATAAACTATCCCATGTCTCCCAGGAAACTGGTTTGATATTTAAACAAGGACAAACTTAAATGAGGTAATTCATGTTATGTCTGTCGACACAGTCAGTTGAACAAGGAAAATCAGTAACTATTTGTGGGAGGAGTGGCTCTCTTCAGAGAGAAAAGGTTTTTCCTGTTGTTAATTAACATAAGTGTAGGAAACAATAGCTAACAGGTTAATGTGTGTGCACAGAGTTAAAAGCTAAGCCTTTCAGTCCAGGCTAGCAGTCTTCAGATTTCCTGGGGCTTTTTGTAAAAGAGTGGGGAGCTGGGGGTAGAACAGGGACAGGGGAAAGGCCTCTGCAAGACATGTCACAACTTGTCAGTAGGTCTCACTTTTGTTCTGCAGTTAAGGAAACTGCTCAGAGGGATTCATTAATCCGACTGAATGACTCTAGTGGCACATAGTTGGAAATGGATGAAGGTGGAAATTAAGATGTCATTATATTCCCAGGTCTGCAACTGGTTTATCAATGCCCGCCGCAGGCTTTTACCTGACATGCTGAGAAAGGATGGCAAAGACCCAAATCAGTTCACTATCTCGCGGAGAGGAACAAAGCTTTCCGAGGGTGCTCTGGTGGAGTCTTCCGTGAACACCAAGAACTACATTCCACTGCTGGAGGAGAGCTCCTTCCTTCCTGCTGCCACGGCGCTCAACAAGACTGTGTCCTCTTCTAAACCTGCTTCCCCGGGATCAGTCCTGGCCCGACCATCGGTGATTTGCCACACAACAGTGACTGCTTTGAAAGATGCCCCTTTCCACTTCTGCCAGCCGGCAGATGGAGGCCAGACCACGGACCTGCAGCAGCCGCCAGCCAATGGCTTCACAGACAACTCCCTCTCCTGCCAGGAGGATGCATCTAAACTGGGACCTGGTGCAAATGCACAGAGTGGGCTCTTTAACACTCCTCCTCCAACCCCCCCAGACCTTAACCAGGATTTCAGTGGATTTCAGCTCCTGGTGGATGTTGCACTCAAAAGGGCGGCAGAGATGGAGCTGCAGGCAAAACTTATGGCCTAAATTCCCTTCTTTCTTCTTCCTCGTTTTGTTTTTCCAGGCAGGGATCTAACAGCTGTGTGGTTATTGCCACCCACACAATATCAAAAGACTTATCTGCATTATTATTATTTTTTTTTATTAATCTTATTTGCACAAGGGATTGCTGAAATGAAGCTTCCTGTCACTGAGACGGTCTTCAGTGGAATATGGTCATTCCAAGAATTAAAAACTTAAAAGCTACTGTAGAAAAACAGGATTTTTTTAATGTTTTCTTTGTAGGTTTTTCATAATGTGAGATGGTTCCCAAGATCATGTGATTTGTTTTTGTTTCTTTCAGACTGTGCAATATCTAGTAATGATATAGAGTCTTCTTATCATTCCCACGTGGAACAGAATATACCGACACGCTGTCAAAAATAAATTTTCAATTTTTTTAACAATATGAACTTGGATGATTATGCTTTTTTTCCCATAATGTAATAAAATATTTTCTTTAAACATGGATGCACACAGAGTATTTTGTTGAATATGAGCTTTGCAGAAAATGGAGCTTTTCCCTTGAAATACACTGAAGTGAGAAATGCTTTTTTGAGCTCATACTGACTTTGTTTGGTTTAGGGAGCTCCGCTAGCAGTTGTTGTTAACCAGATGTTTAAAGGAATGCTGCAAAGTGGACCAGAAGTACCTGCCTGTGATCTGTTATGTTGAAATTTTTAAAGGGACCACAGGGAAGTATGTAGTCAACTTGCATTAAGTTTCAGAGGGAATGTCTTTGGGCCCTGCTAAGTATTTAAGCCTTTGGCTGCTAGAAGTACTGGGAAACACTAAAAATACTGGCCTGGGAGATGTTTCTTCTGAAGATGAAATGAGGCCAGGCGAAGAGTTGGGGTCGTCTCCCTTTGCAGGTCTTTGTGATACAACTTCTAGGCACTCGTGGTGCTCACAAGTTTGCAGGAGGTCCCCAGTATTTCTCATCTTGGACTATCAATGACAAGATCTTGGGTCTCTAATTCTAGGGGACTGTCACAACGGAGACAATATATTAGGCTGGAATTTGAGTGTGGAGACCCAGATCTTTGAAATATTTAACAGTTGACTTAAGCTTTAAGAGAGATTCCCTTCTATTTTGGGGTATATTGTAGCCAAAGGAGTTACTTTTCTGAACAAGACAGTCAAAATGACATCCTGCTTCTCAAAGATGGGGAGACTTGTAGCTCGTATCTTGGCTTAGTCAAATGTCAGTCACTCTTATCCTTTTAGCAACAGTGAAACCAGAGACCTCTAGAGCAAAAAAAAAAAAAAAAAAAAAAAACCCAGCTGGTTAATCCTTAAAAACAAACCTGTTGTCTGTTCAGGGAATGGGGGAGGGTTGAGCCGCAGAGCTGGCAAACTTAAGGCTGTTCTTAGGAGTAGAAGGTTGCTATATTTATGTTTATGGGCTTGGCTTTCTACTCGACTGCTGCTCTCCTTAAACCTTGAACATCAATGGCTGAATGTTTTGAAAAGCAAACAGTAAGCACTGTGGATGAAAATGAGGCTGTCTAGTGCCATCTTCATATACTGCATGAATACAGGATTATGTACAAAGAAAAGTCAGGAAATCAACTTTGAAAAATAATTTTGGATGTAGCTAGCTATAGCTACGTATTCAAGGAAAAGCACAGAAGTTCATAAAGATCCTTGTGTCACTCCTCTCTGTGTCTGGACACTGTACTTGGTACTTTTAGTATCCCAAAGGAATTAACCTAAAATAGATATTTTGGGCTATTTGTGAAATAAAGTGGAAGTCCACATCTGTGTAACTGTGAAGTCTGTGCCGAAAGAAAAAATTGCCCTTTTGTGGCATAGGTTATTGCGCTCAAAGGCTGCTGCTTGGGAGACTAATTTGGTGCCGCCTTTGCTTTCTTGTCCACATGCAAGGCAGATTTTTATTAGAATGCTCCATGTATCAAGTGCTAGCCAAGGCAAAAACAACCTCAAGCAAATATTTTAGTTGTCTGATCTGAGCTGTTTGACTTTTTCCTTTGTTTTTGAAAGCAGGTTATGGGTGCATGAGGGTAGAAAAGGAGGAGGGGGATGTGAGCATTAAAGGGTGCTCTGAGATCCTCATCCCTCATTTCTCTGCCCTTAATAAAAAACGTCAGCAAATTGAGAAAAAAGAGCCTGGCTTCCTGAGCTGCCCGGTTCTGTAATTCCCCTAAAGCAGCTGTAGTGATGAAAATGTAAATAGGATGAGGAAGAAAACTTCCCATTCAGATTAGAACAGTTTTTGTTGAAAGCAACAGGCTGTGGTCCTGGCACAGTTTTCATTTGTGCTGCAGAAGTGGTGTCAATGCCACTGAGAACCAAACTCGGCACCTGTGGAGATTTCCTTTCCATGACTGACTTGTCCTGGGGACTTGTTCTTTGTGACCAATCGTGCTGGAGGCCCTTATATATATATTTTTTTAATCACTACTCGCTAAGGTTACACCTAGAAGTTCAGCTCCCGTCACAAGTCAAACCTCTTAGGCTGAGCAGCACCTGGCACCTGAGCAGCACAGAGGAGAAAGCTTTTCCCTGCCCTCAGGTGTTACTTAACTTAGAGGAAGTGATTCATATTGAAGTACTAAAATAATATCGAGAGGGAGTTTCTGCTTTCCTGTAATCTGCCATTGATACACTTGGTTTAGGCTACTGAAGTTTGTCCAAATTTATCCTTCCAGAGCAGAAACTTGAAGTAACTTTGGGTACAGTTATCGAGGTTATGTGTAGGACATCAGGTGAAGCTAGGGCCAAACCTGCGCGGGAGTCCTAGTAACTAACGAATCAAGGCTTCATGTTCCAGCCACTCATCCCTGTGAGAACAAAAGGAAAGTTTATTTCTGGAAAAGGATTTGGTGGAATAGGGGAAAAAAACAGTAGAAAGAAACAATCAGACAACAAGAGCAGTTTTGCTGTTCTTCCTGCAAGGATAGACCTGATTGCAAAGTAGCTATGGCAAAACCAGACCTCTGCCTGAAAACACAAACTGTAGTGAGCCAAAAGAAAGCACCGCCGCGCTTTACTAGCGACCACGTGGTCGAGGAGTGGAGTGTAAGTGACCTAAGCGGGACGAGGAACCCATGCCAGGGAAAACAGCTCACACGCAGCCTTAGTCAACCTTGTTTTCATGGCTTTTGTGTCTTGTAAACAACTTGGGGCAGCTGCATGTGATAAATGTCTGTCTGCCAGAGGTACGAGCCTTGCTGGAAATGGGGTCCTTCTTTCTATTTTCCTCTTCTTCGCATATTGCAGTTGTCAACTTTCCTGCTGCCTTTTGCCAGATGGGAATCACTGGCGTAAACACCGTGTGTGTTGAGGATGTTACTGTTTTACGTCTCCTGTTCACCCGCTGCCTCACTTTCTGTGCGTTCATCCTGTTTCACTGGTTTGGCAGGCTTGTTTTCCAAAAGCCCGGTGCTCAGAGTAAAGGCAAAGAGATCAGATTAGCTGCTCCCTCTAGCAAAACGTCACTTCAAGCTGTCACTATGCTAGACACAATAATAATTGAATTCACATGAGCTGTATGCAGCGTCTGGTCTGCTCGCTATGCTAACAAAGAGCGCTTGGAGTTCTGCAAACTACCAACCACAAGAATCACAGAAATGCTCCCAGCTAGGCTACGATCTCAAAACTCAGACTACCTTCTTCATCTAAGTTTTGCAGAAATTCCTGACAGCTGGAAGGAAAGCACAACACTTAACAATTTTCCTCATTTCCCCTATCTTCCTAAAGAAAAGCCAGCGAGGCTCAGCTCTTGAGGCGCAGGGTGTGGGACTGAGGCTGTCACGTACCCCAGCTCTTGCTGCACAGGCCTGCAGAGCAGAGCAGCTGCCTACAGCAGGTAGGAGACGCGCACAGCCCCGGGCAGCACCCGGCGCCGCCTCGCCTGGATCTGCCGAAGCCGATGCCGACACGTAGCTGTCACGTCCCCCTCCCAGCCAGCCCCTGCCCTGCTGCACGCCAGCCTTCCCGACACGCTTCGTGTTCCCACCCCGGTGCATTGTAAACCTACAGAGATGAACTCAGGTAGTCGCCTTGACTTTAAGCGGGAGGGCCAAGCGGCTGCTTGTGAAGATGGGCTCGGTGAAACTGCCTAACCCCGTTTCCTTGTGGGCAGCTGCTCACGTCCCCCTCCCAGCCAGCCCCTGCCCTGCTGCACGCCAGCCTTCCCGACACGCTTCGTGTTCCCACCCCGGTGCATTGTAAACCTACAGAGATGAACTCAGGTAGTCGCCTTGACTTTAAGCGGGAGGGCCAAGCGGCTGCTTGTGAAGATGGGCTCGGTGAAACTGCCTAACCCCGTTTCCTTGTGGGCAGCTGCTCCCGGACCACAGAACAGCCCTGCCTGTAGGTGGGTAACGACGTGGCTCTCGCGGGGTCAAGAGCTCCTTGCCTGTGCATTCAAAAACCCTGCATGTGGTTTCTGTTGTGAAGGCTCTTAGCTGCTGACGAA